GAAGACAAACCCATCACGTCATTTGATAATTAAAAAAAAACAATACTCGCTCAGCGAAAAAGTTTAAGTTCACATAATTCACGATCGTTTTTTTCGGGAATCCTTTCTTATTGTGCATCTAACACCTAAGAAGCACCTATATACCAAGTTTTACCTTTCTAGGACTTACAAGTAAGGAGAAACAGAGATGAATGAGTGTTTAGGGAGTGACTTTCGCATCTATAAGCATATACAGGGTCTTTCACGACGAGCGTTCGTTAGGAATATATGGAGAACGATTCAAAATAAAACTTGAAATTGTGTGTAGTGGGTTTTACAAAATGACCTTCTCAAATAAAATATTTTCAACTTCGGGTCTCTTTCCGTTATACCGGACGTTGGGAGCAACTTCCTTATTTTAAATGGAACATTCTGTATTTTATTACATTTTTTAATTTCTCAGCACATTTTAGGCCCACTTTGTATAACAATTGTTAGTTTTCGAGATATTAATTTTTTTCTTAAAAAATTTGACAGTTACAGCACCACTAAGAAAAAATCCTAACTCATAGACAGTAACAGTTGAAAATGTGAAATTTTACAGAATCACACCTTAAGAATCAAGTTATGAATAAGTCCATCGAATTTTCGAAAATAATTTACAGGGTGGTCGAAATTCACACTTGAAATATAACATCGAGAAAACTTTCACAATTCTATTATTTTTGGATACAACGAAAAAAAAAGATATCAAATTCATGAAGAATGTCCTATACCTAAAATACAGAATAAATTTGTACTGATAAATCAATAAACTTCCATAGAAGAAACATCTATTTGCACTTATTTTCACTGATTTATCAGTGAAATGTTAAGGAATTGAGACATAGCCCTCAAACCGAAAATATTGAAATGTTTTGGTGACATATCATTGAAATTGAATGTATTGTTATGATTATTATCACTGTGGAAGTCAGTGATGAGATATTGTGTTTGTTCATTAGTGTTTTATGGAAAGCTAGAAACATGCACCTTCTCTTTTGTTTGGAGCATGCTAAAGCGTAGACGTGAAAAAATATGTTACTAAAAATAAAGCATGGAAGAAAAAGAACTGAAAAATAAAAAGTATGGAACAAAAACAAAATTTACTGTGAAAAAACTATTATTATAAATTCCGAAATGTAACAACCATTGAAAAAATGTCGACTTCAAAAAGTTCGAATTGTGAGCAATCTAAATTTGGACATGAGAGACTCTAACGACGTGAATCAGATAAGGATGGGGATTTTCTAATGATTAATTTGGCTAATACAGAGTAAATTTTTTGTTTTTGTCAAATTTACAATAAAAAATGAATACTTATGTTCATACGACGATATTTCTGACACTTTCATCTATCCAGAAATCCCCATACAAACTCCAATAAAAATTTGGACGGTATTCGTCTGTTCTGTGAAATTATTGATGCAGACTGCAATATTGTGAGCAAGAGCGTTCGTAAGTTTTTTTTTGCATTGTGATGGTATAGTGAGAATAAATGAATAATAATTTTCTGGGTGTCAATTCTATAAGTATGTTTTTAATGTATATAACGTAGTGTTTTTGATTTGACTATAGTATGAAACAGCCAGTCCATATGCTAACGTCGTCTATTATACATAGTGAGCCATTTTGAATCTTCAATTTCATCAGATATTGATATCTGATCAACTTTTTTGATATCGTAAATAAGATAAACTCAGGAGTTTTACACTTTCTATTATACTCTGTATATTTCGACTTGTAAACAACATCATAATGAGTGGAATTTGAAAAGACTAATGAATCGCTCAAAACTTTTTTGAATTCTTTTCGCAAAAATCGCATATGCTTTTCTCGATTTATTTGTAACATGTTCTTTGAAATGAAGACCAGTGGCAATTGTGACATTCAAAATTTACCAGAAGTTTTGATGGAAATATATCCATTTCCAATTTTTGAAGTAACACCAGATAAACAAACATTCGAAACATTGTTGTAGAAAAATTGTTGTTTGCATATTTTTTGGTTGACTTTCACTCAACAATTTGTTTTCTGTGGGAAAAAATTCATACTGAAAGTAGATTGTCCATAGATAAAATATTACTATCGACCAAAATAATTTTAATTTGCGACTCCATCATTTCTTTAATATGGTATGAATTAACATATACAAAGGATGTTGAATTTTAGGCAATTTTAGGTTTTAAAGAAAGAGTGTGAATGGAAATATTCATGTTTATTCAATATTAAATATCCATATATATGCCTCATTTCCATGGTTCCTATTTTCTGTTTCATTTTTGAAATAATTTATCAAAAGCCATTTTTCAATGATAATTGAATCGGCATAGTATGAACAGTAAATTCATATGAATCAATAAAGTACATCTATGGTACTTAAGTCATATTCAATAAATACTTTGCAGTTTTATATGTAGAAGAAAAACACTACCATCATCAGATTCTTTGAATCATTTACTTTGACTTATTTGAAAAATATCCCATGCCCGTAAACTACGTCATAAAGGTTTGTGGATATCGTTTAACGTTTACACTTCCGTATTAGAAAAAGGAGTGATTCTAGATTGTCCCATCCTGATGCATAACTTCTTTGGATGTTTTACATTATATCTCTTATTGAAATGAAGATTCTTTTTCGAATGTCTGAATGCACTTCATTATCCAAACCTCTCATTGAAATTGAATAAATTTGTACTGATAAATCAATAAACTTCCATAGAAGAAACATCTATTTGCACTTATTTTCACTGATTTATCAGTGAAATGTTAAGGAATTGAGACATAGCCCTCAAACCGAAAATATTGAAATGTTTTGGTGACATATCATTGAAATTGAATGTATTGTTATGATTATTATCACTGTGGAAGTCAGTGATGAGATATTGTGTTTGTTCATTAGTGTTTTATGGAAAGCTAGAAACATGCACCTTCTCTTTTGTTTGGAGCATGCTAAAGCGTAGACGTGAAAAAATATGTTACTAAAAATAAAGCATGGAAGAAAAAGAACTGAAAAATAAAAAGTATGGAACAAAAACAAAATTTACTGTGAAAAAACTATTATTATAAATTCCGAAATGTAACAACCATTGAAAAAATGTCGACTTCAAAAAGTTCGAATTGTGAGCAATCTAAATTTGGACATGAGAGACTCTAACGACGTGAATCAGATAAGGATGGGGATTTTCTAATGATTAATTTGGCTAATACAGAGTAAATTTTTTGTTTTTGTCAAATTTACAATAAAAAAATGAATACTTATGTTCATACGACGATATTTCTGACACTTTCATCTATCCAGAAATCCCCATACAAGTACTGTATCGAGACTTGTAAGTATTTATTTTTATTCTATGTTGATTTATCTTTTAATACTATTTGCTGACTCAATCATTGTAATATTTCACTGGCAATATTGGCACTGGCAATTCACGAAGGGAAATAATTTCACGCAAATACCGTCCATTTCCCTGGAAGCTTCATATTGTTATTACTCTTCGAATAAATCAGGGTAGCATTCTGCCCTTGACAGTATTCCATCATACTACGTGGGCTGAAAAGTCTTGGGCCTAACACAAAGCCAATTCTGAACAAAATAAAACGCGTTCTCTTCCTTAGGCCCGGGACTTTCCAGCCCATGTGTTAGAATAGATGGTTCCATACACTTTGTGTTCAGTTTTTGAAACTATAATATTGTCAACAAACATAGAAATTTTCATTTGTATTTACTCGTACTACTACTTTATGGGAAAATATGATATCTGATGTCTGATAGGGTAGGTTTCTCATTAAAATTTCCAATTATACTTCAAACAAGTGGCCACTGTACACGAAGCTCTATTTTATAGGTCTTGTAGGTCTTTGATAAAAATTGAACTGATGAGCAGTAAAATAATATTTTATGATAGAACCGAATATTTCAAATTTGATTTTATTTCCCATGGTCAACACTGTTCAAGGATCTTGACCATTCTTCACTAAAATTTGAAAAATTTTCCTGTACTAACATTTATATTGGGTATATGTTTAAAAATATGTTTTTTCCGTTAACCAACTATCGCACCTCTACGAACAATATTCCTCAGAAGTCAAAACTTGTGCGAGCTAAGGACTAACGAGGTCTTACCTTTCAACGTGTGATTCCTAAGAGGGGTTTACTTATTTATTTATTTATTTATTACACAAATAGGGATACAAACAGAATAAATCCAAAAAATATCCTCATTTCACATATGAAAGATAGTGAGTAAACAAAATATAAATACTAAGTACATTACACTATATAGTAATGAATATTAACAAAAAACTAAATAAACAGTATATGAAGAACCGATAACTAATTATAAATAAAAATAGATTTCACATACTTTTTAAATCTAAGGAAAGGAAACCTCAGTTTTTCAATATCATTGCAATGAGTATTGAAGGATCTGACAATTCTGCATAAAGGAGAGTTTTTACCTGAATTTGTTTTTCTAAATGGGGTTTACAAAGAGATCATGGTTGAAATGAAATATTTTATAAAACATAAAATTCAGTTCATTAATAATAACGGTCATTCTCACATGATACAAGACAAAAAACACATACATGTTTTGAACTGTTTAATGTTTTGATAATGTTCAAAACAAACTCAGATAATGATGATCACTCTTGAAAATACGATATGTTTTGATAGTCTATTCAATAAATCTGCAATAAAATTCAAGAAACATAAATATTCCTTCAATAACATCAATGTCATATCTCACTGAAATATAAAATATTCAAAAGTATTAATATTTGCTTGTTCTACATTATTCTTGAAAATTTTCATTTGAAAATACGTTGAGACTTTTATATCGAAGGTAATCGTTTGCATATAAATGAACACTTGAATATTTTCAATCTTTGTAGATCTCTATGACAATTGATATAAATATGGAAAACTCTTCATGCATATTCTATCGTCCATATTATGAATTCATAAAAAGAAAACTCACCTGAAACCTCAATTCGTTAACGGGCGGTTTGGCATAACGAATACCTCTGAAAGAGTAAATAACCCTTCCCAACCTTGACTGTGTGATGTTACCCCTAATTTTTCCAAGTTTCGTTGCTACTATAGGGTACTGGTCCTCAGAATATTGAAGGCTGGTTGTAACAGTCGTGAACAATAGTAACAAAACTACCCAACCAGGCATTCTTGAAAACAGTTGTATTAACACGTGAAGTATTCTAAACTGAACAGTGCGACAGAGAATCAAACACATTAATTACACCAATGTTCTTATCACCTATGATAAATAATATTTTCCGGAATCATTTACAAAACATTTTTCGGTACTACGAATTAATACTAATTGGTTGAATAAATCAACCTGTTTTTATGATAAGTCAAATCATGCACGTTTAAAATACGAGTAAAGATTATTCAGTGACAGTGGTTGAAAGGAGGTGCGTTTAGTCCAAGCAAAGTAGGTACAATGTATTTAAAGCAAATCTACTCAGTCGAACAGAAACATATGCGGGTGGGGCAAAATTTTACACGACATACATCGTTCATTGACAACAATACTCAAAGACACCTCCTTTCTGGTTTCTGAAGTACTTACCAACGACGCTAGTGAATAATGGTTCTCCAGTTCCCCAATTTGTTTTGAATAAACTGTTTGGAATATTTCAGAATAGATCATAACGTGTGAAAGCTGTTTGGAATACCTTGATCGATGAATTTTATATTCAAGGAGGTTCACCCGAATCAGTGTGGTTCGACATGCCAATATATATCTCAACAATTTCAAACTATTTTTGAAAAATTTGAAGAGTAATAGAGAGCGTAGTGTTTTTTTAAGCAATAAGGTATCATCTTCAAAATGCTCTGGAAGCGAGGAAGAGCATTCTAATATATTCAGTATAGTGATATATTCAATATCGATGAAAACAAACGGACTGGGTCTTTTGATTTTCCAAACTATCAAGGTTGCTAATGAAGCGCTCAGAAAGAATCTTGAAGCTTCTGGATATAGTACTGGGTAAAGTTCAATGTAGAGAGAAAATACAATCTGACATTTACGAGGTCCAGCTATTAAAAACGAGACTGCGCGCCTAGAGAGCGCCTTAGAAAGGTGGGGAAAAAATGAGTAGTGGGCATTTGAAAATCTTCTCTAGTCACTTACCAAAACATATGTTCGTCACTCTTATAGTATTTGGGCAGTAGTGTTTTGAAATAAACGTATTTTTTCTCGTGCCGAAACACATGTGTGAGGAAAAACAAAAGCAACGTATCAATCTCAAATTTCTCGTTAAATTGAAAAAAAATCCGACTGAGTGCTGAAATTGTTGCAAGAGGCCTATGAGGACAATCTCATGCGCGTGTTTTTGAGTGGTGTAAGCGCTTCAGTGAGGGCCGAGAGAGCACTGAAGATGACCAGCGCCCAGGTCGCCCTGTCACTGTTTCAACTTTGGAGACAGTGACCAAAATCAACCAAAGTGTGCGTGCAGATCGTCGAATGAGCATCCGGATGATCACCAAGGCTGTAGACGCCGATAAAGAAACGTTTAGAAAAATTTCACACGAAGAATTACACATGACAAGCCTGTGCGAAGTTAATGCCAAAAAACATGACTCCTGGACTGATGAAAAACATCATTACTTACATCAAAACGTGGATTTTTCAATACGATGTTGAAACAAAGCGGCAATTGATGTATTGGAAGACTGAATCGCCCAGAATCGAAAAAGAAGCAAGAATATCCAATTCAAAAGTTAGGGCAATGTTGATCGTTTTTTTTTCGACATTAACGGTATCGTCATGGCTGAATGGGTTCCAGAGGGTCAGACTGTCAACCGGACCGGACAGTTTTGGCAACCTGGGAGAACGAGTTTGCAAGAAACTGCCCGAGTTGTGGAAGAACAACTCATGGATTTTGCACCAGGTCAACGCATATGCCCATAACGCGCTATCTGTGAAGCGGTATTTGGCCGTACTCTAGTGCTCAAACACGCACCATACTCGCCAGATATTGCACCGTGCGACTTTTTTTTGTGTCCAGAAATAAAATGTGTTTTGAATGGGACCCGATTTGAGTCGATGGAAGCGGTAAAGCAAAAAACGGCAGAGCTCCTGAAGACCCTCACTAATGAAGACTTTCAGCACTGCTTCGATAAATGGAAAAAACGTATGGAAAGGTGTGTGGCGAGAGGAGGGGAGTATATTGAAGGAAAGCATTGGAATTTGGAATAATTTTTATAATGAAATCTTTTTTCGTAACCAGTCTCGTTATTCAATGGCCGGATCTCGTAGTACCCAATAAAAGTTGAAAGAATGCTTTTAACTGTCTAATTGTTATAAACATTTTTAAATTACAGTGGGACTACTAACAGAGGGCATTATACAGCATACTGCAGACACCCGTATACTGGCGCGTGACACAAATACAACGATTCACACGTGTCACCAATTTCACCAAAATCGCTTGTGAGTGGAGAAGCATACGTCCTCTTTCATGAAAAGGATGGAACAAAATCGCAATTATTATTTATTTTTTGTTAAGTTCTTACATGTACCTGTTTCGTCAATATATGCAACGTTAACAGTTCTACTCAAATTATAGGATAAACTTTGATAGATTTCATAATAATCAACAAGGATTGGGGGTAGTAGAGTCGATGTGGATAATATATGGGAATATAAAATTACCTTATGAAACTAGTAGTAGTTCCAAACTATATTCTTATCGAAATGTCGAACACCTCAACGATGATCATATTAAAAGAGATATACTGAACGCGAATTTTTTTGAATATCTGATCTGAATAGTATGGAAGAGAAAATTTTTTATCTGGCAAATATTTTATAAACCATAAAATTCAAGTTTTTGTATATTAACGGTCATTCTTATATGAAACAAGAAATAAAACACATACTTCATTCGTGATGAAAATTAACTGTTTATGTTTATACTTGAATAATACATATTTTCATGTTCTGAACTGTTTCATGTTCTGATATTTATTCAAAACGAACTGAGATGGGGATAATCAAAAATACCATGAGAAATGACCATTTAAATATTCCCTCAATAGCATCAATGTCAGGTCTCACTTAAATATAAAATAACTGAACATGAAGCATACTTACAATATTACGAAGACGAGAAAATTATGAATTGGAATTAGATGGTCAAGAATCGCTTTTTTTCTTATCAGTTGAGTGTATCGAGGAGCTCTGAAGAAACATGAAAATGTTTGAAGGAACAGTATTCATAGAAATGATATCAGTGAAAAAAATGTTATGTTAAACGGTTTCAGTGAAAAAAAGTTAATAATGATGTAGCTGATGTACTGGAAAGTAAAAAATAATCCGGGAGGTTCTAAGTAGCAGTCATCACACCACTTTCCTCAGCAATCTACGGCATTGATCAGATGAAAAAATAATAAAATCGTAAATTTTTTAAGCAATAAGGTATCATCTTCAAAATGCTCTGGAAGCGAGGAGGAGCATTCTAATATATTCAGTATCGTGATACTGTGAAAACAAATGGACTCGGTCTTTTGATTTTCCAAACTACCAAGGTCGCTAATGAAGCACTCAGAAAGAATCTTGAAGCTTCTGGATATAGTAATGGGTGAAGTTCAATGTAAGTGAGCAACAATAGAGAGAAAATACAATCTGACATTTACGAGGTCCAGCTATTAAAAACGAGACTGCGCGCCTAGAGAGCGCCCTAGAAGGGTGGGGAAAAAATGATTAGTGCGTTGGTCACTTGGAAATCTTCTCTAGTCACTTACCAAAACATATTTTACTATTATAGTATTTGGGCAGTAGTGTTTTGAAACAAACGTATTTTTACTCGTGCCGAAAACCATGTGTGAGGAAAAACAGAAGCAACGTATCAATCTCAAATTTCTCGTTAAATTGAAAAAAACTCCGACTGAAGTGCTGAAATTTTTGCAAGAGGCCTATGAGGACAATCTCGTGCGCGTGTTTTTGAGTGGTGTAAGCGCTTCAGCGCAACTCTGGAAACAGTGACCAAAATCAACCAAATTGTGCGTGCAGATCGTCGAATGAGCATCCAGATAATCGCCAAGGCTGTAGACGCCGATAAAGAAAACATTCAGAAAATTTTCACACGAAGAATTACACATGACAAACCTGTGCGAAGTTAATGCCAAAAAACCTGACTCCTAACCAAAAGCTCTTGCGTCAACAGGTATGTCCAGATTTCCTTGAAAGGTTGGAAGACGATCCCGGACTGATGAAAAACGTTATTACTTACATCGAAACGTGGATTTTTCAATACGATGTTGAAACAAAGCGGCAATTGATGTATTGGAAGACTGAATTGCCCAGAATCAAAAAAGAAGCAAGAATATCCAAATCAAAATTTAAGGCATTGTTGATCGTTTTTTTTTTAACATTAACGGTATCGTCATGGTTGATAGGGTTCCAGAGGGTCAGACTGTCAACCAGACTTACTATTTATCAGTTTCGACAACCTGGGAGAACGCGTTTGTAAGAAACTGCCCGAGTTGTGGAAGAACAACTCATGGATTTTGCACCAGGTCAACGCATATGCCCATAACGTGCTATCTGTGAAGCGGTATTTGGCCGTACTCTAGTGCTCGAACACGCGCCATACTCGCCAGATATTGCACCGTGCGACTTTTTTTTGTGTCCAAAAATAAAATGTGTTTTGAAAGGGACTCGATTTGAGTCGATGGAAGTGGTAAAGCAAAAAACGGCAGAGCTCCTGAAGACCCTCACCAATGAAGACTTCCAGCACTGCTTCGATAAATGGAAAAAACGTATGGAAAGGTGTGTGGCGAGAGGAAGGGAGTATATTGAAGGGAAGCATTGGAATTTGGAATATTTTTTATAATAAAACCTTTTTTCGAAACCAGTCTCGTTATTTAATGGCCGGACCTCGTATTACCCAATAAAAGTTGGTAGAATGCTTTTAACTCTCTATTTTGAAAGAGAGTTCCGAAGTTCGGAGAAACTACTATTTTTATCCCAGCAACCTAATTGTGCCAAATATACTTGAACGTCCAAATGATAATATTAATGTTTTGTTTTAAATACTTTCCATCTGGAAATATAGTTAATTTCAATTTTAACGGAGTTTGACGAAAAAATGAGCGATAGTGGAAATGCACAAGAGTCATGGCTCACATATTTGAGGATGCATAATAATTGTAGATAATTTTCGTTGGTCAATTGAAATCCACGATGAAATGCAGCACATATTGTGGACACTCATCAGTAACTTTTGATCCTTTCTGGGATTTGTCTCTCTC